TTTTGAAGTTTTAATTTATTGCAATAAATATTTGGATTCGATTGTAATTTTAATTTGAAAATAATTTTATCGAGTATATATAATAAATCTATAATTTAATACTAAGATAACAGTTTTTATCCGAATAAAATTTCACAAAAATTCCTATATTTTTTTAACATAGTATTTGAGAATAGTTTATTAATAGATATTTTAATCTGCAAACACAAACCTTCTCGTGTCCCAGAGCTTGACAATATTATCGTATCCTCCTGAGATAAAGAGGTGTTCGTCTATGGTCGACCAACGTACTGATGTCACCCATTGCGTGTGAGAGGTAAATCTAGTTTTCACAATCGCACCTTCTGAAATAATCACAAGTAAATAAATAAGTTTGATATACTCTCTTAATGCACAAATCGGAGTTAAAAGAAATAGGAAACTCAAAGATGAGAAATTTTTCTAATCTAAAATTTAATATCAATCAATTTTATCAATAAAATTCATAATTTTAATTTTGTAAGATGAAAGTCATTGAAAAATTAAAAAAAAAAACATCAAGAGGTACCTGTAGATCTCGGATCATACAGTCTCACATGTTGATCGGCTGATCCTGCTATCACGACACGCGATAATGGCGAATAATCAATGTCAAAGAAACACTTGTCACCATAGATTTCCTGCTTGATACCGTTTAATTCAGTATCCCAAGTTTTTATAGTATGATCCCATGAGCCTGTGATGATTTCCGTTTTGTCGGACCACACAATCCCGCTGATCGCTTGCTTGTGTCCTTTCATTGCGCATTTCGGCGTCTACGTATAAAATAAATGCAAATCAATAGCATTCTTTGTAAATTTTTTGGTATTATAACTGATGTTTACTAATAAGAATATACATTATAAAAATTTTTAATAATATGATTAACAATATTAGAATTTAACCGATTTAATCTGTGTACCTTCGTTTTATTCGCGAATTCCAATCTTGCTCTTTTCGATGCAGATTCTCCATCATTGTCATCTTCTTGAGTAGCTTAAAAAAACAAGAAAGATTTGTCTTGATAATTAATATTTCATCATTTGTTATAAAATTATATCCGTATTCAAATTATATCCATATTTTATGATCTAATTTCTAATTGTCTCCTTTCGTATTAAAACATTTTAAAATAAAAGAATTATGAAAAAGTTATAGGACATTACATAACTTTAATTTTTCAAAAATTTATTTATTGATATTTAAAAAAAAATAGTTTCCAATTTCTTATGCTAGTATACTTACATGTTGACCAAATATATAACATATTATCCCAGGCACCCGTTGCCATTAACGTTTTGTCATAATTAATGCTAACAGCTTCAATGCTTCTTCTGTGTCCCTTGCAGATATGTGTACATTCCACAGAATTTTTCGTTATATCCCAACTCCATATCATACATGTCTGATCCATTGATGCGCTATATATATGCATGTAAACTCATTATTAGCTGTCATTCATATGCTTGGAAATTCATTTATCTATTTCGGAAACATTTTCATATTGATTTAGATAAGCTTACTTGACTATGAGCAAAAAATTTACTATAGATAATATAATACAATATTCAAAATACATAAAACTGATCCATTATTTTCTAGTAAACTACCTGACGAAGGAAGCATTATCGTCATTGAGAGATATCCAAGCCACTGCTCTTACAGGAGATATATGTCCAGGAATCACAAGATGATGCTTACCTTTCAATGTCCAAATGTGTAGCATATTGTCATAAGAACCAGTTAAGATCCTAAATAAAATCATTCAGGATATTAATACTCCAACCATGTTTTAAAATACAAAATATATTCTGAAATTGTTTTCTTAATTGTCTTAATTATTAGGAACCAACCATTTTCCACAAACAGCAACAGCTGACACCCAATCATCATGTATTAGACAATCCTTTGGCTCTGGTGAAGGATGCTTTTCCACATACTCCACATCTATCACATCCTCTGTAGAAATTTCTCTATCAGCAATATGTTCTATCAAAGAGCTACGTAGAAACTGTGAGCATATCAGGAAATCAAACTCCACTTGGTTTTGGATATCACTTGACTCTGAAAAGTCAATTTGATTTATAAAATGATCAGTAAGTTTTTTGATAATTAATTATAGATAGTTCTATATAATTCATAAAATATTAATTTTAAAAATACATTTATATATTAGGAAGCGTGCTTTAATATTAAGCACAATGTACTAGATTTAACAACTGCAAATGGTTTAAAAGGGAATAACAAAACAGATAGTACAATGTATTAAAGCGACTTTGATTAGCTCTTCCTCACCTCTCAGAAGTTCGTTTACTACAGTGTTTAATTCGTCGGTGATTATTGAGCTATGGACTGATAGGGGATAATCTGGTATCGCGTATCTAGAATTGTTAAAATGAAAAATATATACTGTAAACGAATATCCAACATAGAAAGAAGGAATAAATTCTTACTTCTGTTGCTTAGTTACAAAACGTATTTGTATCTGAATTTCATCCTTGTGGTCCTTATTTGTGCTCATGGCTTTATCTTTCGATTTCATTTTAAGACGATTCTTCTTAATGGACTCAATTTCCATAGTGATTCCTTCGAATTTTCTGACGTTCCAAATTATTAGATTTTTAACCTCACTTTTCACCGCCACGAATTTCAAACAAGGCGTGCACACGTCGGCACGTGCACGATCACCAACGATATATATATGGTTCGCTGATGTCGTTGATCATTGATCGGTCAGTCTATTTATTATTGTACGTTTATAACATTTTACAATTATCAGTTCATAGATGTCTCTACCGATATTCTTCATAGCTCATCTGCCGGTTCTTGCCGACCGAACAAGCTGAACGGCACACTGCGTTGTTTGCGTCAATTTGCGTTTGGTCGATATCTCGCTATCCCTCCGGCTTCCGGCTCGTCGTTACTGATCGTCGTCTAAACGTAAAAAATATGAAGACGATGATGGAGCGGGTGATCGCCGCTGTAATCTGAAGCGGGAAGTGGTAGTGGTCATTTGGTACTTGCTGGTCACGTACTTGCGACGTTTCTCTGAAATCGCCGAAGGGGACGAGCCCAACGGCGAGCTGAAAAAGGAGTAGTCACGTGATCGAGGGTGTCGTACCGAAGATCAACCCCGACGGCCCAGCCACTGTGTACGTGCATGTGTGTACGCGTGTGATATGCCGGTGTCCTACTCCCTGGTGTACACCGTTTGTCTCTTAAAACTGTTTGCTTCACGCTAATAGGGGTTCGGTCGAGAACAGTCGAGAACGCAGCCTGACGCAGCCGTAGTCGTCGTCGTCTGCTACGATGTGCTGCATTACGCATTAAGAACGCATAAGCACGTTGATCGAGGTGAGCCGGATTGTTCCTTCCTGTATGTACGTACTTATGTATGTGTAAAGCGATTTATTTTTGTGCGCGTTGCGAAGATCGATCAGCGAATGTATGGCAAGTGGTTTTCGGTTTGTCCATTTCTCTCTCTTTGTTGGGAGAGCAAGAACGTGTCGAGGGCGAGTTCTAAGGGTGAGTCGCGCCGCGTCGATCTCCATAATACGTTAAAATACGCTGATGAAGGAAGGGTGTACATCTTACATTGAAAGTTCTGAATCGTTCAAGTGGAAATTTGCTAACGCTTCTTGTTTACCTTGTGTTGTTATTTAATTATTTTGTAAAATCGAAAAAGTTTATCATAATAAATGAAAATGTATTACTACTATTTTGATTTTATAATCAAGTTATCATATGGAACAATGTTGTAAGTTAACAAAATTTTTATATAGAATCTGCCTTTGCAGCATAATTTAAGAAAATTAATTAACTACATTCTGAGTGCTTTTATGAAACCACCCAAGAATTAATTAAACCTAAAAAAGAATATTTTTAAAAGCTGCTATAATTGATTTTTGTTAATTGTACTGGTTTTTTTCACAGAGGATGTTCCATAATGTAGACACAACATCAGAATGAATTTAAGACACAAGAAGTTTATATAAATATATATTCTATTTAATCTTATTTCTGCATTTACAGAACGTTTTTGTGTTTCATCAATTTTTGTTACATAAACGGTACTAGCATAGCATTTTAAATGGATGCAATATATTAAACATATATTTTTTCCTTTTTTGACTCTTTTTATTGCTATTAGTTTGCTATTAAGTGTAAACACTTAATATAATAGCTAAAAGAAACACTTATATAAAAGTAATTTTTTCTTTTTCTAAAGTGTAAGTATGTATACATATATATTTTACATATATGTATTCACTTAATACATATTTTAAAAGTAAAGCTAAATGAATAGGTCTAATGTATCCTCTTAAATATTTTTAAATATACATGTAGTTGGAAAGAGACTGACCTTTATTAGCCTTGACACATACATAATTTAATGTGATTTATATACACCGTGGCATACGATGTTAATCAATGACATGAATATAAAATAGTATATCATGTATCAAACAGGAACAAATATTTATGACTCAGTATATTAATTTTTTAACTTGACATAGTCCCAGATAGAAAATTTTTATTTTTTTTGTGTATAGTCACAAGATGATGAATAATAAATGGTATGAATTGCATCAGCGTTTAATATTAACTATGATCAAACAGTAATTATTATACTAGAAATTTATGTCATTGAAATTACAGTTTAGAACAAAATTGTAATATTTACATTAAATTGATTTTTTTATTTTACCTTTATATTTATTTATTTTTTATTTTGTTTGCTATTCAGTTATTTTTTATTTTAAATTTTGTTTATTTGAACCAGAGGTATAAATTTTTTTTTTAAATATGAATTAGCAAACTGGTTTCTAGATGAGAAAAAATATATCAATGTTAGCAGTGATTATTTGCATAAATATAAATTAATTAAAAGTTGTGTAATAATTTTATCCAACTTAATATATCTCTTGCATTAATATTTTATACGCTAGTCTTCAAACTTAGTATGTTCTATTGGTTACAGCATGTACGCACTGCAGATGCAGACTGCCTGTCAGGGCGATGGCACTGGTGAACCTGATGATCCCAGCAGCCTTCATCAGGAACCAGTGCGACCTGCTACCCAAGATTGCAGCTCTTTCGATATTGTCAGAGCCACGCAGGTAATGTTAGTGTAGGTAATATTAGTCGAATTGAAGAACCTATTAATTTTTTTAATTTATATTTTTAACAGATTAAAAAAATTATATATTATATCTTGAAAGTTTACGATAAATTCATAAGCGCACAGTCCATATTATTAAATTATATGGATGATCGAATGAAATATATTTGCAGTATGGGGCGTTGGAGCGAGTGACACAATTGGTGGAAGCTGGTGCCGACGTGAATCAGCCAGATTCGGAAAATGTGACGTTATTACATTGGGCTGCTATAAACAATCGCAAGGATATTGTCAAATATCTCATTGCAAAGGGAGCCGTAGTCGATGCTATCGGTGGTGATTTGGCGTCCACACCGTTGCATTGGGCCACGAGGTCAGTATTTTAACAAATATTAATATTATTTAAAATAAAGGATATTTTAATAAGAATAATTAAATATTTTAGAAATAAATAATTTTATGCATTTAGCTTCCTATAATTTTGCATAGCTTTTAGCATATAGCCTCCATTTTTTAACCTGAATTTATAAAACGGCTTTAAAAAAAGAATTAAAGAGAATTACTTTTCTATCGTTTTTCTATAGACAGGGCCATCTTTCCGCGGTTGTAATTCTAATGAGAGCAGGTGCTGATCCAACCTTGAGAGATTGTGAAGGCTTCTCCTGCATACATCTGGCGGCACAATTTGGCTATACGGCTATAGTGGCTTATTTGGTAGCGAAAGGCGTGAATCCAAATATGCCAGATAGAAGTGCCATGACGCCCCTCATGTGGAGTGCTTATAAAGTCAATAGGTACACAGAGCACCGAATTATTATTCCACAAGTGACTCGTTTTTTTCAATAGAATAATGTTATGTTGGTTACTTTAAGTCTTTCTTTTTACAGTCTAGATCCAACGCGACTGTTGTTGACTCTAGGTGCATCGCACTCACTTACCGATAATCTGTACGGTAATACCGCCCTGCATTGGGCTATTATAGCAAAAAACAACACGGCGATATCCATCTTAGTGCAACATGGAGCCTCATTAGATCTTCCCAATTTCCGAAATGAGACGCCAATGGCACTACTAGGTCCGCATATCAGCGCCACGTGGTTAGAACATAAAATCAGAGACGAGATTAAAGAAAAACAAGGTCGTACAAGAACATGGTGTAGAGATAAGGTAATGATTACATATATCATAAATGTGTTGGAGTGTTATATGTTATAACATCTGTGTATATTTTTAAGTTAATTTTTTAAAACAAAAAATTTGAATAAAATTAAGCTAGAGATTTTCAATTCTTCTATATGGTTGTTTCATCGTATATTTTTCTTACAGAAAATTCGTTGGCATTGTATGGTCAGTACGCCGCTTATAGCATTTTACGTGATTGGTATGGTTCTACAAAGTGGATGGGATTATTTATTAAAACTAGGTGCCTTTATCACCCTTTACGTAGCGGTGTATTTAATGAACCATTTCGTGTTCGACGAACGGCTGTTTCACGTTTTGCCTGTGTCGATTTATTTTGCAACCAAGGTGAGTATAATTCCAAGACGTATTCTCTAGATAACCGAGGACATTTATGAGCGATTTCCGATAAGCTGCTAATCGTGATAAATAATATTGTCGATAAGGTGATAAGCTCAAAATCAATGTTAACTTAATACTATGTAAATATTGCAATAATACTATAGATAAAATAAAATTTAGCAGCACATAATGAAAGTAAATATATAATTAATATAATATTTAAAATATTAATTACATAGTAATAAAAAAATTCCGAAGTTGTAAATTCTCATATGCTCTTAGCAATAAATATTGATATACGATTTTAATAATATATAATATATAAGAAATGAAATATAAAATTGCTTACAAATTAACAGTATTATTATCCATAAATATATCTTATCAATACACTTTATGCATATAATGAATAATTACATCAATACATGTATTAATTCACAGCTTGCCGATTTATATAGTCAATTATAAACTGTATGCTGATTTTTCTTTTTTCTCAGCTATGGATATACGTCACGTGGTTTTTCTGGCTAGGTATCCATGCAACGTGGTATTTATGGTTATTATTCGTCGGTGGATCTGTTCCTCTCTGGATATGCTTTTTGCAGTCTTGGCGGGGTGATCCCGGAATTATTACGGCTACTCAGGAGGATAAATTAAATGTACTTTTTGTTATTTTTACATGTAAAATTATTTCACGTATACGAACGACAAATCTATGTGTATTTTTGCAGACAATAATTGAATTAGCCGAATCAGGTGGTTTCGAACCGCAATGGTTTTGCAGTAGTTGTCTAGTTCGAAGACCCATAAGATCTAAACACTGTGCTACATGTGATCGTTGTGTAGCACGATTTGATCATCATTGTCCATGGATTAATAATTGCATTGGTAAACGGATACAAATATTCTGCATATTATCTATATAAAATTCTTTCGACTAATCAAATTGTCATCTATTTGCAGTGGAACTTCGCGTTTATCTGAACAAGGGAGAAGACAGTTATAATAATTTAGATAATAGAAATTCACTAACTCTCTCCTTTTTATCAGGATTATTAGATTTGATAATAAAAAAGCGAGCAATTTAAAAAACTGGAGTCGAACCTGTTATCCGAACTATGGCGACGTAGTTTTAATAATAGGAGTTTGAATATTTGGAACTGAACATGCTTGTTTATATAAATAGAGTGCAGATAAACGCGAGTTCTGCTACATTTAATTTTGATATTCTAAATTGTTATTTTTATTTATTTTGTTTTCTATCTACTCTCTCTCTCTCTCTCTGTCTTTCTCTCTCTTGCTTGTAAAAATTAATAAATTATACATGTTTTATATATGAAAATTAAGTATAATACAGTTAAAGTAGAATAGTCACTTTATATCCGACAATTTTCAGGTGCGCATAATCATAAGTATTTTCTTGGATTTCTGACGTCTGTGCTAGGATTGTGTATCGTTATTTTAATTGCTAGTGTACAATATTGGCAATTTGAATGCTGGTCAAATTTAACGAATGGTCATACTGCAGACAACTATCTAGTAGCTGCAGCTACCTGCGACGCTTGGGTGATGTGGGTAGCAGCTAACACATCCCTTCATTTTTTCTGGGTCGGAACTTTGTTAGCTTGTCAGTGTTATCAGGTATGGTTCGTCACTGTTATCAGCTATTGTATATTTTATTATGTTGTACCCTTGATATAAAATAAAAATATATTTCTATCTAGTTATAGCTGTAACTACAATAATTATACATTTTATAGTTTATTATTAAGAAAAATGAGAAATCACACATTTCATTTCTTATCTTCAAATAAAATCTTTTCATTTTCGAATTATATTACTGTGAATATTGTAATATATTTTTAATATATTTATACAGATTATGGTCCTGGGAATGACAACGAATGAACGTGTAAACGCTGGTCGATACAAACATTTTAAACAGGGGAATCCGTTCCATCGCGGTGCCCTACAGAATGCCGCCGACTTTTGTAATTTTAGCTTTTGTGGAGTGAAGGCGAAACCTAGCTCAGACTGGTTGCACAGTTTCGATCTCAAACAAAGTATCGAGAAGTTACCTTTGCTCACGCAAAAAGATAATTTTCAGTACGTTTAGAGTTTTGTAAGCAGCCATGAGACGCTAATTGTACATACATACATACATACATACACCATATCACTTATGCCTGACGTACTCCTTGGACTATCAAAGAGTTGCTATGAACACGTAAGTGACTTTCCAGTATGGCAGTAATTATATATATATATATTTATATATACACACACGACAATTTCGTTTACATATTCTCTAAGTAGTTCTATATAACAATCGCTAAATAACAATTTTTCGACTCGTTTGTCGTAAAAGACTGTTATATTACGCGAATGTGCATATCCCACCTATATTCTACTTCAAATATATCAATGAATGATGAGTCGATACAAATGCACAAAAATTCCGTGATTCAATTAACCCTCCATTGCCCAAATATAATACATGAATGATATAATAAATGAGTTTCTGTATCGTTTTTTAAGCTTTAAAATTACGATTGTAGATAAATGGAAAGAGGCACATAAAAACAGATTAAGGTTAAAAAAGTAATCAGTAATATAGAAATTGGGCAGCATAGGGTTACTAATTTCTTCAATCATTTCAATTCTATTTTTATCTCTAATATTGAGGTTTTTTACCAAACTATAGGATAACTACTATTTACGTTAAACGCGTATTGTAAATATTTAGTTTGAATTGTGCTCGTTTACTGACATTTATTAATCATTCCACATCTGATTTAAATAGCAACTAATTATGATTAAACAGATACTTGCACTTAGAGTTTAAAAATATACATATACTATATATATATATAGTCTCTCTTTCTCAATAATTATAAATCTGATACTTATAATCATATAAGTAAAAATCTACAAAATCTATGTGGTTACAGTTATTTTATTATGAACAGAATAATTGGAAGTCAATATATTTCTCATTAATGAAAATATTCAGAGAATATTTATATGCATTTATTCTGGATGAATTCTACAATTTGTAATTGAAAAATTGATAAATATACAAAATGATAAAATTCATTGAAAGATAAGAAATAAATCAAATAATGCAATGTTTAAAATTCTATATAAAAGTGTAAAAGTGAAATAAAGATGTGGGGCCTATATGAAACATCGTTATAAATGTGCATAAATTATGCAAATTAGAACACATAAGAAAATCAAATGCTATGTGGTAGAATTATTATAGTCAAACGAACTACATAACAGCTATTTATACTGTTTAGTCTATATTGTTCGTATTTGTAAGAGACTACCTGAATTAAGTGCCATGTTATGCTTCTTGAAATGCATTTATGTACTCGACATTACAAACTTTTGTTGAGATCATATTATTCGTATTGGTTACTGTTGCGGCTAAAATATATTTATAATAATACGATATTTGCAATTACAAATCAATATTATTAATTTGTAATATTTATTTAAGAATTATGTTATAACATGTGAAGCATATCTTGTCATAAAAACAATAGGTCACAAAGTCGCTTTTTATAGTTAAACAAAGAGTAGGTCTAGAGTATCGTTATGCATCAAAGAAATTATTTAAATCGGCTAAATATAACAGAGAATGCTCTCTCTGTCTATTGTAATTTAATATTTAACTCTAAAATGATAATTCTTCCAAATTATATGTACAAATTATATTGCAGAGAAAAAATGAGAATTATTGCTTGTACATTCCAATTAACAGTAGCATTTTATAATGAGAATATAGAAAATGTCAATTTATAGAATATCTCATAAAATCTTTGGATTCCGAATAAGTTTATTGATGAAGAAAGAATATATTGTATTATTGTATGCGCTGGATGGAAATGAAAATTGCATAAATGCAACGTAAAATAGATTGTTCTGAGTATAGAAAATTTACGTTTTACGTTTTACTAAACGTAAGTTTAAAACGTAAAGTATTCTTATTTTATAGAAAAAAAATAGTTTTAATGTGATATGACTTTTGATTTCGATGAGTGCATATACATATAAATGAATCGATCAAAGGTTATTTGCACAGTACAGCTTTGATTTATAATTAATGTAGATTAATAGGTACAAATATAAATTTAGTATATATTATCCTAAATAAGAACTTCTAGATGAAATATCGCACATGATGTGTTTAATTGACGAAATTCTTTTTCAATTATAAAAGACAGTTATGATTTATTTATATGTAAATGTCGTCTATATTTTAACGCGTCTATAAATATTTTACTTTATTTTAGTATTGATTCTAACATAAGGACTGTATATGATTTAAGTTAAGCAAATATGTCTTCGAGAACATTGATATATTTAATTAGGTTCAATTTTTATCGGTTGTATTAGTTAATATGGATTTTCATCTCCGACAACTTCTTGTTCAAAACGATGAGAAACATTCGTGTACAAAATGTTGAAAAACACAGTTTTAATATGGATATACTTGACATAAGTAATTACACGACTACTACAAAACGAGTACTCCATGTCAATGTTGTTAGCAAAATATATGCGTATAAATATTATAAATGTAGCAAAATATATAGAAGATATAACTAATTGTATTATAATATTATTTGTCTAACAATTATATTTGTTAAAAAAATTACTTTGCGTCGGACTGCTCGATTCGATTATTGCATTAATTACTTTTATTTCTCAATCTAGTCCAACTGAGATTAGCAAACAATAGCATTGATACATGTTGTTGACTACTGTGTTGTGATTACTTCCTACACGGAAGTTGTAACCGTCGAAGTAAGCTATATTGATCTTAACTTCTTCTAATGTATTGTGTAATATTTGGAGATCAGGATCGAATTGACTACTGTGTTGTGATTACTTCCTACACGGAAGTTGTAACCGTCAAAGTAAGCTATATTGATCTTAACTTCTTCTAATGTATTGTGTAATATTTGGAGATCAGGATCGAAATCGATATAATTTCTCTGAATTTCACAGATTGATCGCAAGATGAATAACATGGGTATATAACAATTTTCGTGTTTATTTACATTTATAAATAAAACGCAATAATTGACTATGTCCAAATTTTATTGTAAATTATATCGATTTCTATCCTCGCAAATCATGAGTATCAGTGCGTCGTTAAGTAACCGAAATGATGCGACATACAAAAGTAATAATACGTTTTTACAGCCAAAAAATATACATGTAGCGTCATAATGAATGTTATTAATATACGCACGTTTCTTACATCGCTACATTTTCTTAAGCTCCATAAAGGTAATTTTAAGATTATACGAAATATATCTTATAAAAAAAGAGAAAAAAACAAATGGATTCATAAATATATAGTTATAATTCACGATACAACACCTTTATCGTTACTGTGATTTGCGAGGTAATACAAAAAATATATGTATAACATGCATACATTGAATGTTTGAATATTTGCTGTTAAATTTTTGATGAATTATAACATAATATATACATGATAATGATGCATCCTGTACTATCTTTTGAAGTGATGATCGTCCTATTTTGCTTCCAACTCTGTTCGATGTAAATAAAAGTTTAATATATCTCTAATACTTCGTTCGATAAAAACTTAATTTGAAGCAAAATTTTATATATGTGTGTTATGCTTTTTTTGTGAAAGCAAAGTTAAATCATCATGCTTTATATATTTCTTTTTTTGAATTTTTCTTACGACTATAACAGATAAATCTAAAAAGAACTTTTTTTGATTGCAAGCAATTCTCAGAATAATGCTCTACAATTGACTTTCAATTATGAGAAAATCGTTTGCTGTAATTATTGCAATTATTTGTTTCTTTGTATGTTTTTAATAGGCTAAAAATTACGCATATAAACATCGTTATTTTTTCATCGTGAGTGTTTTTAATAATCTACAGGAAGATCTTAGAAAATTTTATTGAATTTAGCCTTTTTATATCTCAATTTTTAATCTTAATTATCATAACTTTAGTTTTATATATATATATATATACACACACATTCACACACACGTCTGTAATATTTATATACGAATTCCCATACCGAGAATATCATTGAGAATAAAATTAATTTGAATACGCAACGTATCGTGATATAATAAAATACGACGTTTTCTTACACCACGATGTATATATATATATATATGTGTGTGTGTGTGTGTGTGTGTAGTCTGCAAGTCGTTTTTGTTATCGTTTTTGTTCTGAGTTTAGTTTGGTTTGCGTTATATTTGACGTTGGTGTTATCTTAATTTTTTATGTGTTCGATCGTAAGGAAATGCGTTTAACATGGTTACTGGAGAGGACTGTTCCTGCGCTGACACGACGGAACCTTCGAATTTAACGTCCTTGCGTTCGGATGACGCTACCTCGGCCATAAATTCCGATGTAAATGCGGTCTGCACCAAAACGGTCGATAAGAGGACCGATGCTGTTGAAGAACCCAAAGGCATATTGCTACATTTTTTCAAACGTTCTACGAAAGTGAACTCTTAGATGTACAAAACGTCTCCCAGAATTACATCAAATATTTTTTTTACAGCAAATTCTTTAATCAAACAATTTTTTTTCAATTTTATTTAAAAAATGTCAGTGCTTATATAGAGAAAAATTTATTTAATATCTCGGACAGATATAAATTTAGTATATTGTTTTATTTCATTTTGCACTAAGTCTATTTTATTTTTATTTTTTGTTAAATCATTCTATATCCATTTTATATGCAGAAACGGACTGCAAATGTTCCGATGTATCGCTGATTGCAACTTATTGCGTAGCTGCAGCAGCCGATATCCCGTCCACAGTTCCAGGGAGACCAGATCGTCAGTCACAGCGGAAAAAATCGAGAAGTCAACCACCTGCAACGCAACTTAAGTCGAGTTTCCCGTGCCTTTGTCATAGTCACAAAATGTAACATCCGTCCGTCGCATTCATCTTATCTTGTTAGCCGATCTATTTCTTAAAGCAGATTTATCGTTCCAGCAATGGCTACGTTCTGCCTGTGAAACTCAAGGAAGGTACATAGAGACGCTGTTAAGATACACCGAAAATAATAATGATGGCTGCATTTTTTCAGATAAACCGCAATCGCGTCCGTTCTGGAGTCGCTGGAAACGGCCGAGAAACGGCAAAAGAGATAAGATGTATGAGATAAAGCTAAAACAAGTTCAGTGTCCCCATTACGCCAAGATGCGTGTAAACGGCGCGCCAAAACAGCACATCGACGCGCTGCTGCCATCCCACGAATTTCAACCTTTCATTTCCCAAGAACTGTCTGAAGGGATACCGAGTAAGAATGCCAAATACGACACTGTCAAATCGAAACCACCTAAATATCCAACGAAAACAAAACTCAAGAGAGAAGAAATAGCGGAAAAGATTGAGATTTATTATTTTGATCACGGAAATTCTGCGTAGGTATTAACCGCGTGACGAGAATCTTGGAAAACATAAAGAATTTTCTCCAATTTACTTCACGTTCTCTAGCAACAAATTCGTCTTAATTTTTAAAATAATATAAATTTTTGAATTGATTACAAACCAAAAGATCAATGAAACGATAATCAATCACTCGGATATAATATTTTTCGCAGATATTATCGAACAACCGATTGCCATCCTGTACTAATTACGGACAAATGTGCCGAAAAGACCGATCAAGCGGCGACTCGCTTTTGGGCGGAGATCTTTGGTACAATTCACATTGGTATCGCCTTCGTCACGGCCTTTATTCTACAGCTTCTACGCTTCGTGCTCTACAGCGTGATCCGGCCGTTGACAGTGGGGATCCTTCAATTAATAGCGGATTACTTTGTAAAACCACTACTGTCTATTCTGTTTAACGCTATGGTGCAACCGGTATTGATTCTGCTCTACAATATTGCGACGTCATTGAGGGATCTCTGTGAACCAATAGCCGAGGCGATGGGTTTATTCCTGAGAGAGATCGCGAATCTTTGCGCCGCAATCAGGATCGTGGAGGTGAAGCACGTTCACGCGCCGACCACTGCTTGCACTTGAGCTCACAAGCGAAAACTGGAGACTCTTGACGATTAAGTTTTAACAACTTAACTAAAAACTCGAAGGATTTTCGTTAATCTGGGACCACAGATCTATTTCCGAAGAAAATCTGCACTCTTCCTGTGTGGTGCACTTTTAATTAATGACGAACAACACATGCCTTAACACCAGGTATATATTTGGTATTATTTTAACTTTACAATATTATTGTTGTATCATTTTTTACAGAACAAATTATCTCTTGTAGCAACTAGCTTTGTCAATAATAATCAATGTTCGTTCTTTGTCACTCTTGCGCATTCTCTCGTTCGCTTTCGCTCTCTTTCATCTTCTTTCTTTCGTTCTTCCTCTCGCTTTCCCTTTCTCATGTATCTTACCATTTAATAAATTATGTACAATCTCACAAACAACAAACAGAGGAACCTAATTACATCATGTAGTTGTTCACACTTTGCTATGTACAGGTACTACTGGTATATTTTTTCTTGTTTTTTACAGAATCACTGCTTTGTCTCATTCTCTCTCGCACTCTTTCATTCTCTTTCTCTCACTCTTTCGTACTTCTTTTCGTTCTTACCAGCCGATCATATCGCAATAAACGTTATTTTTCGCATGTAATCTACAAAAAGAAAAAAAGGAGACAAAAAAGAAACCGAATGAACGAACGTATCGTCATCTATCGTCACCTAGTCTCAGGAACTGCAACCTCTGCTCGTTCGCTATGACGCATCGCAGCGATCTAGGTGGTACTGCTAGTGTTCGTAGTGGTCGGAGTCTCCTGGATGGCTAAAGTCTGCGAAGGCGCGGATGTCGAGTCACCTATAAGCAAATAACCAGAGGGATCAATAGCATAAAATCGAGCATACCTCCGGACCGTATAACGTAGTCAACTAAATATACACTTAATGCACCGTAATTGGGTTCATCCCTTAATCGTGCGATTGATCCGTAACTAACAAGGGAGTTTTCTTTCTGCAAGCTGTGTATCGACGTCGTCAACTGTACCGTTATCAATAACGAATACCATATAAATATCAAAAGTACTTCCATACATGGCTTCCGTTTTTTTGTAAATAAAAATCCTCTCTAGTTTAATCTAAGCCTTGATTTAATTAAATTGATTTAATTTGTTTCGATAAAAAATTATAGTAACGAGAAGGGTTATAGTAACGTTACTTGCGACATGCCTTATTGATCGTCAAGAATAAAAGTTCCACTGTTCAAAACGTGCAATTCAATCTCGGATCTTTTGCCGGCATTGCGTAATCGGCATCGATCAATACTGCATCGGTGGTAACAACGGTCGCAACGATGGTCGAGGTGATAGCGTATAAATCTTACCCAAGAGGGCGGCCTCTAAGTCCCCTAGGATCTCCGTCTCCTTGGGGTCTATAAGGTTGAAGCGTTGATTAAGGAGCGTGAGGTGGGCGAATACACAATTGAGGTGAGCGTGTAACCCCAAAAGCGCCACCTCCCTGAAGTGGCAGTGGTAGATGTGTGCCACTACGTGGTACAGTAGCCGCAGGATCTTACGCACTATCGACTCGAACGAGCTTGGGAACTCGTTTGCTGAAAAACAGTAAGAAGTTAACATCATCGCAAAAAAATAACATTGATTGCTCTCGAACTACGATTAAGTAACGGAAGTACGAATGAAGTCAATAATAATAAACCGATCGATCAATAATAAACCTTGGCAACACTACTTATTAAAGTGAAGTTGCTTAACGCGCGTTTACTAATAATTAATTATATTGAAATACGCTTCAGACATAACGAATTAAACATGTAACGTTAAAGAGAACAACTTACCATATTTTGTAGGGAATATAGTTTCGTCGCTAACGGTGCGTTGCGTAAATGTCATAACATAGTCTATGTATTGTGGCGCCGCAACCCTCGTTTTCTTTCCCTTTTCATCGAACCATAGATACGTTCTGAAACATTAAATCAATTGTCAGAAATCGATCGACTGCTTTCGATCCGTAGTTACTTCTTGGAACACCTTGGGCAAGGAGATATGTACGTACCTTAAGCCGGGACCAGTCATGTCGGGACAGCCCGTCATGGTGCAAAACTCGGATATTGTGCCATAAACGAGATTAATATGGTCGAACAATGCGAGGGTGTGCGACGCCAGCCATTCGTTGTAGTCCAGGCCGGGCGGTAGGTCTACGAGCATCCTCAGGTCCAGTTCCGGCAGCTGCCTTTCGAGAGCAGCCTCCTCCAGGTACAATTTAGGATCTTCCGTGGTTCCCGCATCTTTCTCCTTTCGTCTGGCCTTTCTGCAAAATGAGAAAACAGTCGTACAGTCAGCGAGTCGTACAAATCTCGAAAAGGTTTTTTCTCAGTACGCTTAAGCCAATCAAGCAGAACCATAGGTGTCGCGTGTAAGAGGCGCAAATATGTACATACAACACAACACAGCCTGTGTGTAAATGAGATTTAATGGGCACGCTGTCCGAAACCAAATTGGAGAGGAAATCAATTATTCCTTGTAGAATTTTATTATTATAAAAATCGAAGAGTCATTAACTAAATTTGATTTTGAACAGCTTATACATTGATAAGAGAACACTTGCAAAAGGGGGCGACAGAGAATCGGTTTTATTACAGAATTGATAACTGCAGATCGAGAAAATGACTTAAGATTAAAATAACGAAAATGTGCCAATCCTAAATATAAAGAATAATGTTACAGATGATAACACGAAGATATCGAGTACGTCATGTCGTTTAAAGCAAATCTCCAAGAAAATCAACAAAAAATTTTTACAACGCATCAATATTGTCGAGTCATAGGAACGCTAATCTGGTCCCCAGATTGACCGGAACAGATTGAACAGAGCGTTTTGTCTTTAATCGATTGACGCGAATTCATTAATCAAATCGACGAATTATCGGATTTGTTCGATTACCCTCGACGCCTCCCGAGTCTATTCAATTTGTCTTCAATTTATCAGTGAAGCCGAACGTTGTGTTTCTCACATCACGCCCTCAAGAGCGAATCTAACTTATTTGTGTAAATAAGACGATAAAGAACGTTTCCAACATTCGCTTAATTAGAAATCTTTCGATAGAAAAAGTCACAAAATAATGTTGCAAAGCTAGAAAACCGGAAATAATTATAAAAATCAAATATTGCAATGCGCTATTATCGTATGCAAAGTAGAAATTTCGCCTCGCTTTTGCGAGGTAAATAACGATAATATTATAATATAAAGTGCTATATTTTGTATATTAATAAATATATAGGATGTTCCACTGTATAAGATTTTAATCAGTCTTTTTATAAAACATTTTTTTTTTCTTTAAAATAGTAAGAATTTGATTAATTAAACTTTCACAAAAGGAAAGATTATATATATATATATATACTCCAGATAATAATTTATTATTGGAACTGTATTCAAGAGACATCCTGCATATTTAATACAAAAAAATCTATACTGTCAATAAATTTTATAAAAAAATAATTATTAGATACATACATATACATATGGAAAATTATGAGATAATAAATAGTAAAATCCTGTTATCACGTTAATGCAAAAGATTTGGTGTATTTGCCAAATTAAGTTTAAAAACAAAATTATACAATTTCGTAGCATACTTATTTATTAAAATCTAGAAAGAAATTTTTAACTGCTTCTTTCAAAAAACTCAGAGAGATAAGTGTTAGTTTACTTAAAAATAAAAAAACAAATATTCTGCACCAATGTAATAATAAATATCAAGAAAGTAAACGATAGTTCTAATTAACGTGTAACGCACGCAACTAACACAGAGTGTTCTTGTTTGCACGTGAGGATTATAAACATAACAACTGATTTTTTCGGCTCGAGCTTGCTCGGTACGCAGCAGTCGCGTCGCACATTCAGCTTCCTGCCAGTGAAAAATGCAATTACATGCAATAACGATAGCAGCGATGTTCAGCCACGTCTACACACGATCCAAAGCGCGCACAAATCTCTCTCTAGAAAGCACACATGCTCCTGGAAAGAAGCTGCATCTCCGCATAGAAAGAAAAAAAGCTGACGTAAATCAGCCTAAATGTATACAAATTCATCGTCGTTATCATGACGTATGTCTCTAATCGCGTACAACACAGTCATCTCGTACAACAATACTCGTCTATGACGCTATCGATGCCTTTTCAGGCATAGTACGACAATTTACGTATTACGAGGACACTCGATTCTTCCCAATCCATATATATCTCGCATAGAGAAGATGCGCTTTAATTACACCGGGCTAGTTCCACGTTACGGCACGTACCATATATATACATATGCACATATCTATACGATATATCGGTTGCGGGTGGAAAAATGGAACGGCGGAAGGGATGGGAAACTCACGCAACTAACTCGCCGAAGAGCCTGATCTTCCTGTGGCAGGTGTCGAGCAAGGAGAGACGCGAGGAGGAGGCGCTGCTCGAGCTGCCGGCGCCGGTACCGGCGCCGCCGTGGTGCACCGGCGTCGGCGGTGCCGAGACGGTGGTGGCCGAGGACGCCACCGCGGCCGCCGCGGCCGCGGCGGAAACGGATGCAGAAGCGGAGGGCTCCCGTAGGACGGTGATGGCGCCGCGCGCCGGCGAGCGTAGCATCGTTGCCGTCGATGCCGTCGTCCTTGTCGTCGCGATCGTCGTGGTCGAGGACGATCTCCTCGGCGCACCGCCCTCGTGCCCGAGGATCCGCTCACGCACGCTGGGTAGGCACCAAATCTTGTTCGTTTGTCATCGAACGATGAACAACAGCACGCACCAGGACGGCTTTCTCCGAGATCTCTCTTGAGATTGACTACCGATCTACGTGGTCGACGAAGACCAAAGTGTAGGAAGCGAATGCGAGAATCTTCGAGTGCGTTAAATTAATTACTTTAGTATCAAGGACGGAATGCGTTCGTGTCAAGAGATACTCCGGAGAATCTCCTTTCGGTCTTCGATGTACCTGCTCCGTCAAGCTCGAGAATTGGTCGGATCCGTCGCGTCTAATAGACTTTAATAATTTCTTCTAATGAAGTTTCTTCTCTATCGCGTGTTATGTCCTCTTTTTTTTTTCTTCTTCTAACCGTATACTTAATACTTATGTACTTTAAATGTGTTACTCAGCTCTTATAAATCCTGATAACTTTCCTAGTAATATTTTTTCGTTGCATGTTGAAAAAGC